TGGCGCAGATGTGATGCTAAATTTAGCGGACAGAGGATGGAGAAGTGTCGGGGATTCATTGTGAAACTAGAAAATAACGAAAACAAGACTATCCCCATCAACAAGTCAGAATGAGTTAGGGTGAACATTATCTGGACTAGTAAAAAATCTACAAAAGAAATCGGAAATCCAAGTATCGCCCCTTCACCCGTCCAAGTAATCCCCAGTGATCCGAGTAAAAAGGCAGATATGACCCAAGTAAACAACATTGGATGCTCTTTGCTCGAGAGAATCCAAGTACTGCACGATTGTAAATGCAGTACTTGGACAACTGAGGGAAATTACTTGGAATTTGGGTGGTCGAGACTCGGCGTTCAAGTAAACAGGCCCAACCTGCCCAAGTAATTTCCCTTCTATGTACATGTAACCTGTGCCAGGGGCAGGGGATTCAGACGCGGGAGTATTCTACATGGGAGTATTCAACTCCCAAGATAAATTCGCACGATAGGTGCAGGAAGCAACAGCATATTGCCAGTAAATACCCCTTGCTCCGGTCCGGTGTAAGCTAAATTATCAAGATGATGCGAGCGAAAAAAACCAGAGTCGAATTGGCAATGGGACAATAAAGCGGGGTTATTGAGTTCTGTGTAGGCAAAATAAAAGGAAATAGGGAATGTTGCAAAACAGTGAGAAAACGCAACGATCAAATGCAAACTAAATTCTTAAATATTAACATTAGTTTAATTTAAAACATTTAGGTATTTTAACGGTCTAAGTGAAATTTCAATAAACAATAAAATTTCTTTTAAAAGTTTTCAAATCAAAACTCAAAAATTGTTTTTTGGAAATTTCAAATCAAAAACTGTTCGAATAACACACACTTTAATTCTCAACGTTTTCAAATCAAAACTCAAAAAATCGTACTTTTTAACCACTATTCTTTTTTTTTACTGAAGGGATGCAAGCTTCTTTGGACTATCAAAATACGGAAACAGATGAAGGAAATTACCTTGTTTTCTTAACAGACATTACTGAAGACAATTTTTCAATCCTTACTTC